GGAAGCGGTGACACGTGACGTCAGACTTAACAAGCAGATAAGAGGTCGTCTGGATTTTGGAGCCAGATCTTTTCACATAAAATAAATAAATAAATAACCCCAAGACCTTCATCAGTTTCACTGATCAGGTATTAAGTTTCACACTTTACATTTTTTAAAGAAAATGGAAGTTAAGGTTTTCATTTGCATATTGGTGATGTCAATATCAATAATTGAACAAACACAAACTGTATAAAGTCGACAAGAAATGAAAATTCACACTATCTATTTTCTAAATGAATGTTATAGATCAGAATTTGAATGTTTAAAAAAAAAAGTGTATTCGTTCTTTAAAATGTTTAATCAGAATGTCATAACTGGATCGTCCAGTAAAAATGGTCAATTTTTCTTTTTTCAATAATCCGTTTGACTCAGATGTATGTCACAATACAGAAAAAATATAGAAAAGAGCTGTCTACTTCCATTACATCCTGACTTTAAATCACTTCTTATCTTGATCTTATAAATCTTTTGGGCTCATTCCTGACTGTAGCGTTTGTCCTAAACAGACTTTTTGGACCATAACTGTAAAATGTAAAGTCTGTTCTTCATTCCAATTAACACATTTTCCCTCAAAATGTACAAAAAATACATTGTGTTAATGTTTCTGTAACTGTGAAGCGCATGAATATTTAATAAGGGTCTGTTTATGATTGGTTGTTTCTTGCTGAACAGGTGGCCCTTACATTCTAAAACAAAGAAAGAAGACAATAACAAAAAAAAAGCGCTAACCCTGTTCTCCAAAATTACAAGCGTGAAAGCTTTTAAAGTGTATTTAAAGTGGGTCTAAAAGACAATAACCTGGGCTTAAGAGCAGTTTGAAAAGCCCATACTAATTTATATTATATTTACGAATCAGGTAAAATACAACCAAAAACCTGAGGACTTGCATGTGATTTCAAAACCTGGCAACCTTTTGACAAACACTGTATCAGGCCTACCACTGCACCACACTCAAGCGTTTAAAAACCACACAGCACATTATAATGCTATTACCAACTAAATGTGCACTGGAACCATTTGAAGTGAACAATGCAGCCATTACATAATGAAGGACAGCATTTCTGAGTAGTTTCTACAGTATGACTGCAGCGGTGAGGGCACGATGCATGTGCGTCTGAATTCTGCATTTTCCGCTGCCAACGAGGGAAGTCCAGTATTTGTAATAGTTATGCGTCTGAACATTATGTCATTTGCTTCCTTAATGGGGTCTGGGGTTTTATGCTTGGTAACATTAGGAGACCAAATTACACTTTGCGGACCTTTGAAATACCAAAATATTCAATGCAAGTGTCTTTACCCTATCAGTCATCACAGAATAGCTGCTATTTGTGTGGTCTTGAACCAGATTTAAGACAATATGGTAAAAAGAACAGCTGTAAATGAAGAAGTCGATCGCTACTCATATAATTAGTAAGGGATGAGGCAGCTTTTAACTTGCCTGTAAAAAACCTGACATATGAAATAATAGTCAAAATCTTGTTTTTTGAATCTATCTATCTATCTATCTATCTATCTATCTATCCACACACACACACACAATATATATATATAAAAAGTGTACATATTTATTTGTTTTGCATCATATTTGATACATCAGGCTTTTATGGCTTATACAGTACAGTGCAGTTTTTGATACTGTAGTGTAAATCAAAAAGTTATGTATGGATAATCAAGTAAACCCCTTCAGTCCAGTAAGTGTTCATCATGAAATATTACTAAGAGTATAAAATTTATTATGTTTACTTTATAAAATTTGTTGTAAATTTCACAGCAAAAAAGACACTTGTACCATGACCTGAAGTGGGATGTTGTTGGAATTATACTAAACAACCTTTTAGTTGCTAAAAAAGTATAAACTGTCAATCAGATGACAAAAGGCATTTAGTAGATTGTGCACAATAAGTTTTAAGGCGAAGTTTTGATCATGTTGATAATTTAGAGTCCTTAAAATTTCATGTATGAAATATGATACTGTAGACTTTATACCATTTGCAATTTTAAGCCATCTACTTCCTGTTGACATCATATGCACCAAAGATAAATACAATTTAAAACTACTGATTTATTGGTTTCCGAGATATTAAAAATTCAACTTTTCCCCGAAAATGTGGCCTTAAGCAAAAGGATCTGAATCTCATCAACAAACGCAAAGTCTCAGGGCGACAAATGTGACTATTTGTAAAAATCTGAAGGATAACAGAATTGAAAGCAAAATTGAAGGCCGTAAGCTCTGGAGAGCCTCAAAACAGAGCGAGTCAATGATGTAATGCTTTCACAGACATGTCCCACAGCGTGCTCCAGCGCTGCTGGAAAAAGCAGGCCGATCAGGGTGCACAGCTGCCCATGCTGCACTCGGCTGTGGTGAGTAAATGGGGCCCAACCCATCAAGGTCCCCATTACACAGTACCGGGCACAACACCAGCACCAACAACCTCTGCCAACAAACGTGAACAGGAAATCATGGAAAAACAGAGGCGGCGGGAGAGTGGGATGAAGCACATGGATGTGAACACGAGCAAAAGGAAAGAAAACAGCCATAATGTAGTCCACACCACTGGAGCTTTCTATTACTGACAGAGAAACGCTACAGTGATCAAGTCATCTGTGTGACCACACGGCCATTTATAGCCTTTCTGCCTCTAGAAGTCCATTTATTTGTGGCTAAACGTATAGTAGATTGAACATACTGTATGCAGACCATGCAAACATGCCAAATGGGGGAATATTTGAGCAGAATGAGAAGCTTGATCATACAAACCAACAGTGATGTTGGTTTTAGGGGCTTTAGGAGCAACCTTAGGAGCTTTATGATAATACTGAAGCTCAAAATCATTCAAGTTGTCATTTATAAAATTATATGATTTGAATACAGATCTGTATATGTGGACCACCTTCTATTCTAAACATTAATCAGAATCAGAATCAGAATTAGCTTTATTGCCTGGTATGTTTGCACATACGAGGAATTTGTTTTCGTGACAGAAGCTTCCACAGTGTAACAGAATGACAGTGACAGAACAAAAAACACAGATAATAAAAAAATAAATAATAAATAAAAAAATAGAACAAGTAAATAAGGAATAAAAATATAATCACAAAAAAGAAGCTAGTTTAGAAGCAGCATTTAACATGTCTTATACGTTTTTATTTTCTTTTTTTAAGTTTATTTAGGCCTATTTTAATTTAATTTTAATTATTTTATTTTATTTTAATTATTATTAACAAAAAAGGGCAACACTATTTTAAGGTGTCCTTGTTCCATGTAGCCTTCTTACTATTATAATAACAATAAATTATGCATAATTACATGTAAGTAACCCTAAGCCAAACCCTAATCCTATCCCTAACCATATAGTAAGTACATGAAGTTAATTCATATTACTCAGTACTTAAATGTATAATTACACTGTAACAAAGACACCTTAAAATAAAGTATAACCCACTTAAAGTGTTACCCAAAAAGTACTCTGGGGCCACCATGATTTGGTACTGTGATATTACAATGTTTATTAAGAGGTTGTTTATACGAATCTAAAATGTCCTAGCTGTAGAGAGGAGTATTTGTTTGTAATTCCACACTGCCACCCTGTGGATTTCTACTGCACTGCATCTACTTCCTGTGAACAGTTATTTACAGTTATTTAACATTTTACACTAACTTTTTTTATTACGTTTGTTAATGAGAAACACATGCCAGACATTTTCAGTCTGACCATGTTAAAATACCTCGACCAACCACAGAATATTTATTTATTGTTTGTTTGTCTGTATTTGCAAAACACAAACAAAGTCGGTTTCACGCTTTGCAAACAAAAAATCCACACTGTCAAACCACATGTAAAAACTAAGTCATATAAAGATGAATGTGTAAAAAAATAAAAATAGAAATGTGGCCACATTACGAATAATAGAGATTCTGAAAGTTTCGGTTCAGTTGGGGAACTTTTTTATCCCCTACAGAGATAGAAAATTACTCTAATAAACTAAACTTACTATAATAAAAAGTTTAACCTTTTTTAATTACTATAATAAAAAAGAACAATTATTCTAGTTTTAAGGATAAAGTAGGCTATATCATTCATATATAAGCTTATTAATTTATTTAAAAAATTAATTATATGTTATATAAGCTTTTTTACTGTTTTTCTTTAATTGCTCATTTTTAAGAGTGTTGAAATTATTATTGTTAAAATCAGAATTTCTCAGATTATGGCTCTTTCTACATACAGAGTTTTTGATACCTTTATGATAAATGTATAAAAATGTTACAAATCAATATATCATATGTGACCCTGGACCACAAAACCAGTCATAAGGGTCAGTTTTTTTTAATTAAGATTTATACATGAATAAAAGCTGAATAGATATGCTTTCCATTGATGTATTTCTGATTTGTTAGGATAGGACAATATTTGGCCGAGATACAACTATTTGAAAATCTGGAATCTGAGGGTGCAAAAAAAAAATCAAAATATTGAGAAAATCACCTTTAAACTCGTCTAAATTAAGTTCTTAGCAATGCATATTACTAATAACAAATGAAGTTTTGATATAATTACGGTAGGAAATTTACAAATATCTTCATGAAACATGATCTTTACTTAATAGCCTAATGATTTTTGGCATAAAAGAAAAATCAATCATTTTGACCCATACAATATATTGTTGGCTATTGCTATAAATGCTGACTGGTTTTGTGGTCCAGGGTCACTCACATATAAGCTATTATACCACTTGAAAGATGTAGGCTATAGTAGTGTATCAAAGCCATGATTATCCATTTAGTAATATTTTATGTTTTAGTATTTCAAGTGAAGAATCACCCATGAAGACACGCACAATGGCTTATGAAGCAGGACTAGTGTGTAGTATTTCACATCAACAGGTATGACGTGTTGGGCCCTCCTCTCTTTCTCTCTCGTGCTGCGGTGCTCCAGCTGCTGCCGCCGCTGTCTGTCTATCTGTCTGTCTGTGCGTGCGTGCGTGCGCGCGATCTCCTTTCCGCTCGCGCCGTGCTGCTGCTCCTCAATGTAGCAAAGACCATGACAGGCATCGCCGCTGCCTCCTTCTTCTCCAACATTTGCCAGTTCGGGGGCTGCGGACTGCACTTCGAGTCGCTGGCCGAGCTCATCGTGCACATCGAGGATAAGCACATCGGTAAGTGCGCTCGCGGAAGCACAATCTGTGCCGCTGCAGCGCGCAGCAGCAATGGCCGGCTCGTGCGCTCCACAGTCACCCTCACTTCCTGCGTCGCAGCGGCGCTGTTGCTAGGTGTGGTGAAGCGATGGGACTTCAGTGCGTTTTGCTCGATTTCGGGACGCTTTTAGGTGTCGATAGCACAAGCTATGAACACGTTCGGGCGTAGTTAAGCCGCTTCAAACTAGTACATGGTCTGAACGCGTAAACACAAGCGGTAGGGCTGCAGTGGGAATGTTATTTTCTGCGCAAGGCCCGCAGACGCGGAGCTTCGCAGAGATGTGTCCATCTCACCAGCTCAGAGCAGCTCATAAACACGAAATGCATGTATAAAGCGGATTAAATTCCATACAGAAGTGATTAAATGCTTGTTAGCTAATGCAGCATAAGAGCTTCCTTAGTATGGCTAAAGGTAACGGATACGTGTGGATGGCCATTATCATTATGCGTCATAATAATGTGCAATCGTCATGGCAGAAATGCATTAATAGGCTAAACGACTAAATGCACAAACGCACTGGGATCAGATGACTATGCAAGTAGGTGTTCACCTGTTGAATCATGAGTATGCCTATGGTTTGTATGCATTAATCCACTATTACAATGTCCTGTATGAAATATGACACTTTGGTCGCTTGAATTTCAGAGCCATCAGATCTCAAATGTCTTGTCACAAAGATTTCAAAGTTTTCTTAGAATAAAATCAAATAAAACAGGAATTGTTTTAAAGTTTAAAATAAGTCACATTGTAAGATACAATACTACTACTAATAATAATGAGAAATAGAGATTGATGTAACACCGCACCACTGTAAGATACACAGTTGAAATTATGAGACATAAAGTTGCAATTAGAAAAACAAAGTCACGGTTACATGAAATATTTGCATTGCGAGATAAAAGTTCATAATTATAAGATATAAAGTCATAAGTAATAGTCAAATTTATAAGAAATAAAGTTGCAGTAAAGTGAGATATAAATAACTGTAAATAGTCATAACTGTGAGAAATAAAGTTGCAGTTATAAAATAAATTTTCCCAGGGTTCTTTTAGTTGAAAGTTCAAAATAACAGCATTTATTTGAAATATAATTTTTTGTAACTTTATAAAAGTCACTTTTAGTCAATTTAATGCATCCTTTCTCAATAAAAGTATTATATACCTGAATGGTACTTTGTGTAGAAATCAAATAAAGAGGTCACAATTACACAATTTAAGCACATTAATATATAAAGCAACAATTATTTTTAATTGTTTTTTTTTTTTACTCGAGTCATAAATTAGCTTCTATAATGTCCTGTGTTATATCATAAATCCATATCCAAAAAAACAACTGTATTACCGCTGAGTTCTTGTCTCCTACACTGGCTTGCATTTTGTCCAGGATATTTTTGATTTAACCGGAAGCACGGGTGGTTAAATTAAGGAACATTTTACCTTACTTTGTATTATTTACAAGTGCAGATGTAGGTCATAAGGTTGCACTGGTGCCTATCAGGGTCTGATTTGTTGTCATTCTGGAGCAGGGATCGCACTGGGGTCAGGAATCCCTTTGAGTCCCAGCCTGCAGAACTTATATCCAGTAGAACAGATGCATAGGGTCAAGGCCCTTTATAGCCTGTATTGTCCCACTGAATCACTATTAGTGTTAAGGCTATATTAATGCAGAAATAAATGTATGGATGTGTGCTTGTAAATGTGATCAATGAAATGTGTTGTTACGGTTTCGCACAAAATCAACAGTGCTTTCTGGTTTTTCCTGGCTGTTGGACACAGAAATGGAGCGAAAGTAAACACTTTGGACACTGAGAAGTCCAAAAATGTAAGCATAGCATGAGATGGAATGCAGGTTTACTTTGAGCACAGCTGAAAAGGTATATTACATACCTATCTGTCATAATCAAAATGCTCTCGCTGATTCAGTCTCTAGTGCTGATGGATATCTCAGTCAATGGGGGCTGGATCTGGACTCTGCTGATGTAATTTAACACCGTTGGACTACCTGTCCAATAGACTCTGGCAAGAGCCTGCATGGAGTGAATTTGTAAGAAGAAACCTGATTTCTAGAGACAAAGCGCCCCCCTCCCCTCCCCTTCCCTTCTCTCCCCTGCTGACTGACATTCCGTTAGCTCAGCTGGCCTTTGAGAGGGAGATCTGTCTGGAGAGCTGGTGGAAATCATCAGTCCAGTCAAGCGATTTAGCCTGAGGTGTTTTCTGCCATCCATGTGCACTCCAAACACACTCTGCTGCTCAGATACTCTGCCTCAGACTGAAATTTGCCATGTATGCATCACTTTTTGAAAGTGTGGTGTGCTTGTTTGCGTATGGAATTAAAATTACATTAAAATAGTATAGATTAAATTTAAGCATTTTTAATATAATGTCATTTTTGTTTTGATCTGATTTAGGCCTTCCTGTAGTTTGAAGTGTCAGATGCAGAACCTAATGGCTTGTGTTCAAATTAGACATTTTACATATAGTCATAAAGATCGTACTGAAGATATAGTGAGGGAAAATTTTGCATACTAAACCCTGCATAATCTTTTAAATCATCTGCAGTTGACCTAGTTCTTGAGACAAAATGCAGTTGCACAAATTATATTTACCTTTACACTGCTATGTATTATTTTGAATGCATCCACTAGGCCCAACCAGTGTTCAGGTCCATGCACCCTATGAGCAGTTTTGTGGTATTATTCTAAAGTGAAATTGCAAAGTGATTGGATGTTTTACCTGGAGATCAGAGCTGTTTCTAAGCATAGACAGCCTAGGTGGTTGCCTAAGGTGCCACCAGCTGGTAAGTGCCCCAACATTCCTGTTAATATTAAAGGTGCATTATGTAATATGACAGCTAGCGATTAAAATGAGTACTGCAGTCCACATTCGAAATATATGAGAGAGTTGTTTCTCCTGCCCCCTTCTCCTCAAACTTGACGCTCACACGAGTTGCCAGATTGAGGACACTCAACAGGAATGAGCGGAAATCGACAATGGTAGGCGATAAGCCTTGCAATGAAAGTTGATTTATCTGCATTTTAATGTCTCTGGTCATAGAGCTTTTTAGATGGATGCCGAAAGTTTTTAGTTTGGGTAGAATCTGTGATCTTCCCGCAAAGATATTAGCCCCTTTCACACAAAGTCTTTACTGGTAAATTACCGGTGGATTACCATTAAGAGATCATTTGTGACCTGGACCTTTTCAAAAATACCTGTAAATTCATTCTGGCAATTTACCAGTGTGAGAAGTTGTAACATTACCAGTAATGTGCTCTGTGTGAACGCAAAACGAGATTACCGTCATGAGCACGTACGAGTTCAGAACGCGCTGACATAAGACGTCTACTCTGGGCCAATCATAACATTATGACACATTTACTCCGCGCTGCGGCAATTTACTGGTATTACTGTGTAAAAGCAGCTATTGTCTAATAAGTCAGCGAGGCAACAAGTTAGCTGTATAAGCTTTCAGATGCAGCCAGTAAATTTTGGCTTAAGCTTATCTGGCAGTTATTCATCCAAATAGGAATTGGAATTTATACTGACACCTGTTGGCCTGGATGAATCAAGTTTCTTTATTAACCGCTAACTGCCAATTCATATTATTAGTAGTATAGTAACTCTGTCAATTTATGACACAGCTGGTCTTGTGATGTCAACATGGCAGCTCCAGTGAGGGGCGCTGTAGAGGGGGAAAAAAACAGATTTTATAGAAAACTGATACGTGAGTGGACAACATTTTTATGATATTTCCCAAAAGTGATAATTCCTTTGAGTGTAAAGCTTTTTTAATTAGCAAAAAATTACTGTGTAGCCCTTTAAATTCCACTATGACTGATTTGCATGTTTTGTGTGTGTGTTTGCTGTGCTATTGCTGTGGCTGAATGTTTGAGCGCAGGCTTGTTTTACTATACAAAATGGAGGCCTAGTTGCCACAATGGCAACACACAAGAGCCTCGCTCTAACAAAATAAAATGACCTAGAAAAACATTGCCGTTCCACTCAGCACTCTTAAACCTGTCGTTCTGAAAACTGATAGCCTTAGGCTGCCTGCCTTTATTTAGCTTATTTTCACAATAGGATTTATGTAGCAGGTTAAATTGCCCTCAGGACCATCATGTTTACATCTAAACTAAATGTGTCAACACTCCGTGGTGGCCCATTCTCTGATCGGATGAGATGGAGGTTGATCAATTCCAGGCAGCTGACCTGAGCTGAGCTTGTTTTAATGCCTCTTCTGCTCCCTGATCGCTTGTCTCGCATGTGTCCGGGGTGTTAGCTGAAGGAGAGTGTGGCTAAAGTGACTTATTGCGCAGTAATGAGGCAATTAGTGTCCCATGGAACCCCTCCCTCACCCACAGCCCTGCTCCTGGCGAGGTGTGAAATCTGGCATGGCCCCACATAGGCCTGGAGCAAGACTAATTACAAAGTGGGATGTTGGATTTTGGCCTCTCTTCCTCTTCATCTGGGGACCTGCTGCTAAAAACATTCTCTGCTTTAATTAACGCCCGGCTAAACAAAGCTCACATTCTAACGGGTGAGGTGGGTTCATTGACAGGTGCTCGTGACCAGTAGGGGGCGATGGCATGCTACCAGAAAAACAGAGTGGAGATTTGCGAGGTCGGGTGGAGAAATGTTGCCGATAGGCCTCATTGCTTACAGCAAATGAGCTTGTGAAGTTTTAAGGTTGTAATATTTTATTACCTTCGAATTTTCCTCTGTCTTCAAGCAAATTCGAGTTTGCTCTCTAGGGTTTGATTGTTATATGTATTACGATGGCAACAGTGTAAATACAAGGAAAGAGGGTGTGTCTGAACCTTTTACTGTTCGTACTTGTGCGTGTGGGTTCTGTAAGCAACGAAAAGATCCCTCCGAGGCTCTCGCTGGATGTGACAATTTATGCGATTCTCTTTCGACTTCCAGCTCTTAAAATCGTGAATTTAAAACTGGCAGGCCGCGGCCTC